TTCTTGTATTTATTTATTGCTTCTCTCAAGTTTTATTTACTGAGAGTTTTATATATTAAACTTAAAATTTATTTATGTTGAGTTTTATTTACTAAGCAATATTATGTCATAAACGATTGCATGTGCATTTGACCAGGCAGTGATGCTCATGTTACACATAAGAAGAATCTTTCAGTTTAAAACCTTCTATCTGGTTGCTCCTCACGTTATTTCCTCAGTTATTTCTCTGGAATGACATGTAAACGTTCACACATTAGTGTAGCTCTCTGAGGAATATTTATGGATCCATTTACAACGTTTTTGATTTTTGAGTTTCTACCTCAGCAAACATTAGTGGTCAGAACTGACTGTGAGAGTGAAATCAGTTCCAGTTCTACTGCTACGGATGTGTAGAGCCCTGCAAATCTGCAGATATCCACGGATATCTGCATCCACGGATGCGGTTGTATTGTTTACCATCTTTATGGAACGTGGATTGGATGCAGATCCAAATTTTTGTATCCGCGCAGGGCTCTAACAGTGAGATAGGGCGCTGGTGTGGGTGCAGATGTGAATGCAGATACATATAAAAAGTGGAGTGTGGATTGTGGGTCAGATACAAGTTAATTATTGCAGATCAGATATGGATCCAAATTTTTGAATCCACACATGGCTCTGCTGATATGGACTGGGACCCAGGGTGCAGTGTAGAAGCATAACAGGTAAAGAGTTTGAGTCTCTGCAGGTTTCAGTTGGTACCAAGTTAAATTGTTATTAATTCAGCTGTTGCTGATAAGGCTTGAACTGGCTTTGCAGCTGTTGGTGACTGTGTCTTCAAGAGACACTGAGTGGGACTCTGGAGTCTGAATCCTCACAATGTCCCTGCTAGCATCTGATGTTAAGAATAAAATATTTAGTGAATATAAATATGAATGGTCCTCTAAATGATATTATTGTTTATAAATATTCACATGTGCATCTTTGCATAATGATCATAGCTCATCACCTAGCTGTGATGCTGATGTTCAGCTTGAGGAAATTCTTTTATTATGCTCATTTTGGACCTGGTCCAAATTGGGTACAAATCAATGGAAAGACTTACACTGACTTCCATGGGTTGTTGATCAGGTCTGTATTTTTTTTAAACGTGCTTTCTCTCTTTTTCTCTTTTTTGATTTTAAATGAGATGAAGTGGATCAGAAGTTAGTGTTAATAAGGAATATTTAGACTTTGATAGGCAAGAGTTCTAGATCTTTTTATTTTTTTTAAAGGCCAATCAAGTTTTAATTCATCCAGTCCCCTCTTGGGTCAGTTCTTAACCTAAATCCAGAGCACTAAGAGCTGGATGAACTGAGCCTCGGGAATCATTGTAATGTGTCTGAGCTGTCCAGTGCTGATCACTAAACCACGGAGAGTGAAACAAAATGTTTATAACAGCTGTCTTTATAATCGCATTTACCCTAGGGGCTTTTATCAGCACATCCATATTGGTCACATTTCAGACATGATCATAGATGTGACTGACACAGATATATCAGGAACAGTTGGTAGAGTAGACCTGGCCTGAGAGATCAACTGATACATCTAAAGTGACAGATCCTGATCCTAGAAACATTGTGTTAGTGTTAAATCATGTATGTTAGCACCGACATGCAGGAGACTGTCACGCTGTGTGGAAATATATAAAACAATCCAGTCAAAATATACAAATGGACACACTGTGTAACTGTACATCCCCTGAGCCCCAGGGCAGAGGCTGCAGGTACAGAGCTGATCTGTGCATATGGCCGTTAAGATCAATCTGGCTGTTAGCTGGGTGTCTAGAATGTTTGTATCACTATTAATTCTCCACAAGATTTAATTCATCCCTATGCAAATGGCCAGCACAAAGCTGTGCACCAATCAAGTCATGCTTACACTCCCCAAACACATGGTACTTTATGGCACAGACCCTGTGTGAATCTTCAGCACCTTTTATGCTCAGAGCCCAGTTAGGTGCAGTTGACTGAACTGAAACCCCAGGAAAGCAGCTGGCACTTCCAGGGCTCAGTACCAGTTTGCATAAAGTCAAACAAATCCTCAGGGCCCCAATCCCTGCCCCAACAGTTACCCTCTCTCACAGACCCCACGTTCTTGTTCCCTCTTCCCTGTAGCAGAGGAGGGCTGCATGCAGCTCCTCACACAGCCTGGCAGTGTCATTCTATGTGTCCACCACTGTCATCACAGCATGTGACTAGGGAGCACCTGGAATGGTTCCTTTGCTGCCTCAGCAGCCCTGGAGCTCAGTGTGGATTCGGGGGGGCTCTTTCCTAAACAACGGCATCGTGCCCAAAATCAGGAAGGGGGAGCAGGCGCCGCACACGCTCTCTACTCTGTGTCACCCCTTTCCACTAGTGTACCCTATCGGTGGTTGCCCGCATTCTCCACCACTAATGTTACCTCTGTTCCCCTAAAAACCAACCCAGGGTCACACTTGTATTAGTTTTATTACAATGCCGCTGTTAGGTCAGATAGAAAAGAGATGGAGCTTATTCATACACACACACATTCACTGCATTCATACCCTCATGCCCCCACACACTTACACAGGCGGAGAGTTACTGGAGGCAGCATGGAAGCTGAGAAGCCGAAGCGTGGTAGATCTGGTGTGTCTGCCTGCAGTCACGAATCCAGGCTGCTGAGTAGGTCAAGAAACAGGGGCTTGTGTGCATGCCTTCTTCCTCTTATTTTGGAACTGGGCGGCTCCTGTCACGTACACTGAGTTTCCTTTCTGTGTCCGTCACTGAGAAGCATTCCCAGACTAGTTCCTTTCATGCATACCAGGTTCTTCTTTTCTTTACAGCACTTCATGCCTGCCTTCTCAGGGCAGATTATATCAGACACACCTGTCTCCGGGCACCTCTCTCCTTGCAGTTCCTCTCCGCCCAGTCCCACATACACTCCCTTGTTCACACTCCCTCGTTCACACTCTCTCTGAGGGATGGGATATTACAAAGCTTGGAAGTTCATACAAGTGGTAACTTGAAAAGGTTACAGAGCTTGCAAATGTTACAAAACTTCAAAGGCTCTGCTAACAATCACTGAATTTACAAAGCCTGCAAAAAGGTTGCAGAACTTGATACAAGTTACAGATCTTACAATCGCATTTGAGCGGAGGCTTTACATAACACTCAGGTTCCCTAACCAGAGGAGAGCCTCTATATCACGGGAGGCCACGCTCTGTGAACTGCCCTCCAGATATCGAACTGGGCTCTCTTCCATCACATGAGATATTATCTGCAATGCTGTCCCACAGCCTCAACATGGAGGGTTAACCAGACCAAGCCAGTGCATAGTGGCGGTAACTCTGGATGAGCCAGAGCGTAACCTATTTACCTTAGTCCAGGACCTATGATCAAGTGGACAAGGAGATAGGTGCAGTGATGGACTCCTTAATGTCTCACTCTGTTTCCCACTGTTGCGTCCACTCTATAAGAACATGAACATTCTGTTGGTGGAGGCTGACAAGGGGCCAGTCTTTACTACCCTGTCCTGCCCCTCCCCGCCCAGCACTATCCATTTCACATTGCGTCCTTTGGATGACCCGTGATAGGGGAGGTTGTGGCCACTTTGTGTTGCTGTGACCTGGTCTCCTGCTGTGATTAATATTGCAGGGGAATAATCCTGTGCAAACTCAGAGAAATTCTAGCCCTGCAGAATCCATTGCTGTCTCAAGCTCGACCTTTTTCTCACTACCCAGCCTGTACCTTTGTCCTGTAAGATCTCAGCACCTGAGTCCTCTCGACAGTTCAGTTGGGTGGAGCTCAATGGAAGAAAACCCCAGTCAAGCAACCAGCACCTCCAATGGTCACTATGAGTTTGGGTAAAACCAATCCTCAAACCCCAGCCTCTGCAGCCAGCCCTAAAAAATGTCAAATGCCCTCAGACAAAGGAGGAAATACATGTGCTTTTCCCCATCTGAGCCCACTTGTGAACCTGACAACTGCCCAATTGCTTCCTCAAAGGCCATGTGTTTCTGCAACTTTCCCTTTGTCAAAGGAAGACTGGATGCAGCCAATAGCTCCTGACTGTGTTATTTCACGTGTCCACCAGAGTGGGTCGCTAGAGAGTAACATGAGTTGTTCCTTCATTCGGGAAGGTGAACTTATGCCCCTTCTAGGCTCTGCTAGCTCTGGAGTTCAGGAATTGGGTTCAACCTCTCCAAAAAGCAGCACTGCCAATAAAGCGCTAGGAAGGGCTGTGTCTGTTTTAATCCTGAAATGCTCAGAGGGGGCAGCAAGTACAAGTTATTTTGGTGAATTGTGGAGTACAATCATTTATGCGGGAAAAAATGCCCCTGATCCGCTGCTCCTGCAGCAAAGAGATTTCTTTATTGCAAGAAATGTGTCTAGTGGCAACCTTTTTTGCAGGACAGTATACCTTGCTAGATATGTGACACCAGATGGCGCTGTTACACAGTCTTCCAAGTTGTTCAGAGTGTGCGAGTAAGTGTTTTGGGAAAACATGCTGTGTGGTTGTTAATTTTGGCTATGCAGGGGTCCGAGGAAAGGGAGCTAGCTGTGTGAGTAGCAGGAGAGTTTGATGTCTGTCTTGCTCTCTGATTAAATTGTTGAGGCAGATTTGGTTCTTGGGATATGAGCATTGGTGCTGGGAAAAGATTCCTGAAAGAGGGGTTTGCTTGCATGCAGTTTGTGATCACCTCTGTTTCAGGACAGGTGTTGCTGTAAATAAAACAAGTTATGCTTTGTAACCTCAGACTCCTCATCACTGATTTCTCCCGTACTGAGAAGCTGAGCTGCAAGTGCAGGACATCTGCTACTGCTCAGCAAAGTGTCAGCACTGGTGTTGGGAAAGAGACAACAGTATTATAGAAAGCTGTTGGAGTAGGGAGTGTTGCCTGGTGTTGAAAGACTGATTAAAATGCTGTCTGAAATCTAGTGTAGCAGCTACACTATGTATAGGAAGCAGCTGTTACACTGAAGGAGATGGTGTGGGGAGGTTTTTGTATTGGTCTGTATCACTGTGAGAGGGGTATCATAATGCTGTTGACAATAATAATCTCCAACATCTTCAGCTTCAACTCTGTTGATTGTGAGTGTGTAATCGGTGCCAGATCCACTGCCGCTGAACCGGGTTGGGACCCCGGATTGCAAGGTAGAAGCACGATAGATAAGGAGCTTCGGAGCTTGTCCTGATTTCTGTTGGTACCAGGCTAAGTAGTGAGTGCTACCACTGGTGAGGCTTGAACTGGCTTTGCAGCGGATAGTGACTGTGTCTCCAGGAGACACTGCCAGGGATTCTGGAGTCTGAGTCAGCACAATGTCCCCGCTGGAGTCTGAATTAACACAAAGAACGTCAGTTAGCATATACACGTACAGCCTTTCTGTATAGTGTCACTCTCTCTCATGTGTGTGTGTGTGTGTGTGTATATATCAGTATCCTGTTTTAAAATACACAATATTTTGTCCTTATAAATATTCACATGTGCCTCTTTACATTCTGATAATAGCAAATTTTCTGAAAACGATGCTAACATTGTTTAAGCTGGTTCTTTCATTCCTTGTTGCTTCTAATTTCTTGTGTTTTTTCTGAAACCTGTTTTTTCTCTTAGTTGCACTTAGAAGGAGACAAGCATTTTAGAAGTTACTGTTGCTAACTGAGGAATGTTTATATATCAATATATCTACATCTCGTAAATTTTTCCATAGTTCGCTGTAGCTTAAATCATCCAGCACCCCCTTTATTTGATTCTTACCCTGGATCCAGAGCACTAGCAGCCAGATGAGCTGAGCCTGTGACATCATCTTGCTACGTCTGAGTGGCCCGATGCTGATCAACAAACGGTAACGAGTGACACGGATCATTTATAACCGCTCAGAGCTGCAGGGCAGTGTCAGTTGCTTGTGAAATATGCAAATTTAGTTCAGAGATGAAAATTCCCAGCTGACCTAAAAATGTGCAGAGAAAGGGAAGTAAAAAGGACTAAGGAGGAAACAGGCAAGGTCAATGCGATGGCCCCTGGGGCAGCCCCGCCAATCTGTGTTCCAATGAGGCAGTTCTGATGATAGTGAAGGTAGTGCCCAGATGTCCATAGCTGGATCAGGACCCTATTTTGTTGGGTGCCAAACAACCGCATATTAGGTTACAGTCACTGTCCCTCACTTTGTGTTGAAATGGCATTTGTCAGGGTGCAATGGGAATAAATGTTCTCAGCCTGTCAGTATTACCTTACTGCTCATTTACATTTAATGACCATAGAATCATTTTTCCGCTAGGAATCTCCTCAAAAAGATATCGATGTGATCTCCCTGCATTAGGGGATCTATGCAGGGGCTAACCCCCCCCCCTTACCTGCTACTCGCTTCTGAGTTTATTAGTCATAACCTTAAAGACCCTATTGTGATGCACAGGGTTGTGGGAACCTTAGTTTCCTTACTATTCTGCCATTTAAATCCCAAAGGTAGCTGTAGTGTACAAAAACAGGCTTTATTAGCTCTCAAGCACACACACACATGCTATCGCAGTAGGAGTAGAGCATTTCAAAACAAGTGTATTTACCTAGAGTTAAGAAATGGTTGCGAGGGATCAACGACCAGGCTTCAGGGGGGTCCCGCCTTCCGTCTAGCTGCTGGGGAATTTAGCTGTCAGATCCTTGCCCAAAGAAAGCTTCCGTGGACTGCTCCAAAGCAAATTCTTTGGTCTGATCTTTTATAGCTAACTTCAAACAAAGCACATAACCTATTGTGACTCCTAGTGGGTCACCAATTCTCCTACTTTCAGCAAAACTACTCATTATCTCTTATCACAACATTTCTAGTCATAATAATAAAACATACATGTTAGAGGCACCTAAAACCAAGGTCGCTGTCCAAACATTCCTTCTATTTTCAAGGAACATTCACTTCTTAGCCCATCCTCCCATTCCGGCAGCAAAAACTGCAAACATGCTATTATTTGGCCTTGCCTCTCAGAGCCCAAGATTTTCCTAGCTATGTGTTGTTGGGTTTTCAGCTAGCAGCGGGTGAACATACAAAATTGCTGACTGCAGTACTGTCAAATTCTGGGGTACGACACAGGAATGTCAAATTCTGGGGTAACAATTCCCGGAGATTTAAAGTTAGACTCCTCAGTCAATATTTTAACAGCTAAAATATTTTGTCTAATTTTCAAAAGCATGGAACGGCCAATGGGCGATGCTGGAAAGGTGGTTGAATGTGGCCATCTGGTGTCAGTTCTGTGGAAGTTCAGCTTCTTGTTTAAAGGAGGTTAAATATGCATAGTAGCCACTCAGGAAACATCCCTTCTCTGTGCCCTGGTGCAGGACCATATAGAGTCCCTGATCTTTGCAACTCTCACTAATGACAACGGGATTATAAATGGTGTCAGAGACCTGCCTGGAGCATGTGGTTCTGCTGCTGCTACCATCCTTTGGGATTCCTTTTGTGGTTGGGTCATTTTAAATTTTGCCTAGAGAGGCAAATGCGAGAGAGAGAGATCAGCACAGTTGCTGGCCATGCTACACACACGTTCATCCTGGCAATGCCACCTGTTGTTTGGGTTGTACAGCCACTGTACTCTGTGCAGATTAGGCAGTGCTCTACGTGCTTTGTGCGGCTGCAGCCTGTTGTGTGAGAGTTTCTTGCACTATGGTATAATAGAGCATAAACCGGGGTATGGTTGGCCTTAGGTAGGAATGGATACACTGAACTGAACAGCTCAGCAAGGGTTTTGTATTGTGTATATCGTTACGCAATGGGTATCATAACCTTATTGATAATAATAATCTCCATCCTCTTCAGCTGATTGTGAAGGTGAAATCCTACTCTGATCTATTGCACTGAAATGGGTGGGAATCCCCGTGACAAGATAGCAAGCATGATACATTTGAAGTTTAGGATTTTGCCCAGTTTTTTGGTGTTCGCAGGCTAAAGCACTGCAATGCCTGCTCCGGCCTGGCAGTCAGTGGTGACTCTGCTTCCTGGAGATACTGACCCAATCTGCCCCGATGTCTGAAATTACAAATATAATCTGAATTAACACAGGGGTGTGATCAATCACAGAAAACAATATTCTGTCATAAATGATTGCACGTGCGTTACACCATGTAGCCTGGAAGGGATGCTGATGTTCCATTTAAGGAGGATTTTTCAATCTAAAACCTTGTACCCAGTTGCTGATAACATTATTTCCCCTGTTATTTCTCTGCAATGACATGTAAAAATTCATCCATTACTGTAGCTCTCTGAGGAATGTTCATGGTTCAATTTACAGCATTTGCAAATTTTTGAATGGGCTTCTTCTGCCCACATTAAAGCTCAGGACTGTGAGTGAAATTGCTTCCAGTTCCAGTGCCACTGACCAGGGCTGGGACCCCAGATTGCAATGTGGAAGCATAATAGATAGGAATTTAGGAGCTTGTTCATACTGCAGTGGTGCCAGGTGAAAATGTTATTCATTCTGCTGCTTCTGGTAAGGTTTGAACTGTCCTTGCAGATGATGACTGTGTATCCTGGAGACACTGACAGGAATTCTATAGTCTGAGTCATCACAATTTCCCCGTTGGAGTGTGGAATCATGGGAGGTCACAGTGGTTTGGTCAGGTGCGGCTCTGTAGGTGAGTCCTGACCTAAGTCCCTCTAAGCTGCACGGCCGGGCGGCGGCCCAGCAAGCTCTCAAGTGCGATGCACTTCAGGTGTCCCTCCTCCCACTGCCGTGCTGCTCCTGCCCTCTGCCTTGGAGCTGCTCCCCGGAGCCTCCTGCTTGCTATGCAGAGCAGGCGGGAATGGGGGTGCTGATGTCCGGGTTCCCACTCCCCTGTCCCTGTACCCTATCTCTGCGGGGGGGGGGGGGGGAACGAAAGGGGCCCAGGGGGGGGACAGAGAGAGCTTGCTGGTGGCTGCTGTCTGCTTTGAGTGCCAATCTACTTAAAAGGGCAACGTACAGCACCAGATTCTTTGGGCTGCCTTTGGCCATCATCTGAAATTCTGCACTTTAATTCAAACAATGCCTGAATTTGTCTTTTTCCATTGTGATTATAGAGTCATAACACTGTAAATTCATGTGTAAACACTGGAATAACAGTAACCTCCACCGAAATGCTGCTGGTGGAGAGAGAGGGCTGGGTCCTCTGTAGAATAAGGAAGAAAAAGGGCCCCTTTCAGTGAGGAATGTTTGTCCCTGATGAGAGTGTTTGTTGGTGTCTGCCATTTACCACTGATAAGCCCCCTCATTTTGTAGATGGTTCCTTGTTCACCACGAGCAGCTGCGTCTTCTGCTTGTGTTGCCAGATTATTAATATAATGACGTTTGTCCGCTCTCACAAGGCGTTTGACCTCCCAGTGTGCCTTGCTATACTGCTTGCGATATTTGTCCGTTAGCTTCTGGGATTTTGTGTCTAAAATGTTTTTCTTCAGGGCTCATCTGGTTTCTATGGTGTTCCATGTGCTGGGTGTAATCCACTCCTTCCTTCTCTTCTGCCTGTAGCCTAGCTAAATTGCTGTTACTTTGTCCCACTTCTTGTTGATCTCCTCATCTGCATACCCCTCCTCTTCATCAAGGTCTGCAAGTGCCTGAAACCTGTTCTTTAACTGCAGTATGAAGGCTTTCTCTACTTCAGGGGACTTTACCTTGTCAATGTCATAATGTCTATGTCCTTTGTTTGGACCCACACTTCTCAGTTTTAGCTTGATGGAGGCTATCACAAGGTGGTGGTCGCTGCCAACATCTGCACCCCTTCTCACTTTCACATCTGTCAGTGAGTGTCGCCATTTGCCATTGATCATGATATGGTCAATCTGGCTCTGATCTCTGCCATTTGCAGAACACCATGTCAGCTTGTGCATTTCACGATGTTGAAATAGGGTTCCGCCGATGACTGGGTCATTCCTATTCCAGAAACTAACAGGCCTCTCTCCATTTTCATTCATGCTTCCACACCCATGTCTTCCCATTGCTCTGTCGTTGTTTGTGTTCTTCTTACCGAGCTTGGCATTCAGGTCTCCCATGACAATAGTTAGGTATTGGCGTGGTACTGTCTATAACTCTGCTTGTAATGTAAGGTAGAATTTGTCCTTTACTTCTTCATCATTGTCATTTGTGGAAGCATAGCACTGAATCAGGGTGATATTATGTTTTCCTTTCAGTCTGGCTGTCGTAAGTCTGCTGCTGCTGGATTTCCATTCAGGCAGGGAATGCTCCACTCCTTTCTTCAAAAGGATGGCCACACCCTCATAGTGTTGTCCATCATCCCATCCCGAATACAGCAAAGTTTTTCCTGAGGCTGTTGTTAATCTTTCTGATCCCATCCATCTGCTCTCACTGACACCCAGGATGTGTAAGCTGTAGCGTCTCATCTCTGCTTTGACCTGAGCTAGCTTCCCTATTTCGTACATTGTCCGTACGTTCCAAAAACCAAGTTTGGTTTTTGTCTTGATGTTGAGCACTTCAGTCTTCATGCCAGTGGCTTCCTTTCAGCATTCACCACTGGTAGTTATACAGGTCCTTGACTCCCGAAAGCCATCACACATAGTAATTTCTCTGTCGCTGTTTCCGTAATATATATATATTTTTTACAGGACAGGGTTGGCCCTGTCCCTAACCCCCAACCTGGAGGACCAGGGTGTTTGTTTTGTCTGGCCCCTCCCCCACAGACCAATCCGGCATGGTTGAACCTACTAGGAGCAAAAAGCCCCCGCCGGCGCAGACTCTGGGGATCGTTAGAGCACACAAGCTGTCCCCCCACAACAAGGGACGGACACTAGAGGACAGTAATTAGGAGGCGAGTAAAGTAATTTAAAGCCAGAAATAAAAAAAGGCCACTGTGGTTTTGGAGAAGTTAAAAACTATTCTGTGTGGAGGGAAGATTCTCTAGCAACAGACTGTCTGCTAAATTATGTGTATTACATGGTTGAGACAGCAGGTATGTGTGTTTCTGGGGCTGAAAGTTTGCCCCCGAATAACGTGTAGCATTTGCACTGAGAAGGCGGCTGTTTGAAGGAAGCAGCTGTGACACAGAATGGAACGGACAGGGAGGTTTTTGTATTAGTCTATATCACTGTGAGAGGTGAGCTATAGCCTTGCTGACAATAATAATCTCCAGCATCTTCAGCTTGAACATTGCTGATTGTGAGAGTGAAATCGGTTCCAGATCCACTGCCTGTGAACCGGTCTGGGATCCCAGTGGCACGTGTGGAAGCATAGTAGATAAGGAGTTTAGGCGCTTTTCCTGATTTCTGTTGGTACCAGGCTAAGTAGGTATAAGCACCTGTAATGCCTGCACTGGCTTTGCAGTTGATGGTGACTCTGTCTCCTGGAGACACTGCCAGGGATTCTGGAGTCTGAGTCATCACAGTCTGCCCATTGGAGCCTGAATTCACAAAGAGACTAGAAGTTAACACAAGTACAGATCTAGTCAATCAAACTCAACGACATTGTGTCTGTAAAATATTCCCATGTGCGTCTTTACACAATGACTCTCCCTACTCAGCTGGGCATGATGCTAACATTGAGCTCCAGACACTGTTTCATTCTAACTGTTTTGACTATGGCTCATAATTTTCTCAAACATCTTTGTCTTAATTCCAGCTAAAATAAGTTAAAGATTTTCATAAATCAGAGTCAGTCCTGGCACCTGTTTATTCCCTAACATTAATATTTTGGTAATCCCTGAACACCTCTAACAGTTTTGGTCCATTTCTGCCAGATGCTGTACAAACAATAAGTGATAGTCCCTGCCACAAAGAGCTAACTAACTAAATGGATTTTGATTGACCCATAAACTATAATCTACAATGTACAACGTTTCTAGTTCTTTTAAGCTTTTCTAAGGATCATTTTACTTTTAATTCATCAAATTCCTTCTGGGTTTGATCCTTACCCTGGATCCAGAGCACTAACAGCCAGATGAGCTGAGCCTGTGAGATCATCTTGATATGTCTGAGTGGCCCAGTGCTGATCAACAAACTGTAACGAGTGACACGGAGCGTTTATAACAGTTCAGCACCACAGGGGAAGGGTGTGAAATATGCAAATAGGTTCAGAGATGAAAATTCACACCTGGTCCATGAACATGTACAAAAAAGGAAGTGAAAGGACCGTGGGTGACATAGGCAAGTTCAACCAGTCACTCCTGGGTACAAGTGTCTCTGTTAAAATGACATTTGTCTGGGATTACAAAGAATAAAAGTTCTCAGCATATTGTGATTTCTGGGATGCTGGTTAATATCACAGCTACACTGGAGATCTCCTCACAACTTGTGATACAAAGTGGTGTGATCCACCTTTGACAGAGAAACAGTACTGGGGGGTGAGGGTCTTCAAGCAGGGAGAATCCTCAGTTAGCAAAGGTAAATCCTGATTAGCCCAGTCAGTGCCATTCCTGCTCATCCTCATCTAAACTGTGAAAAGTTTCAGTTCTGCTGAATTGATGTTTTCCAATGAAAAACCATTTTGTCAGAAAATTCCCATCC